AAAAATCAAACAAAATCACACATGCACATAACCTCTAGGGAGTTTACTCTGGATACACACTGCTCAATGTACAAATAGACCATTTAAGTCATACTTGTGCCACCCCTCTTACCAAATCTTAAACAGAATCAGATATATTAATGATACACAATCTACTTTAAACAATAAATACATTTCCAAGGAAACCAGAAAATATTAATAATGTAACATTAATACTGTAAGTAGAGATCTCTTTCAAGAAATAAAATGATATATTGGAAGTCCCCACAATGCCTACAAGTCCTACAACAACCTTACTATAAATCTTAGAAAGAAATAATGTGACAAGTGACAACTCCACAAAGTAGGAGGGGCTATACCAACCTTCCCAAACACACAATTCAAAACCCATTTAATTGGCTTGATTTATAAATTGTGTAATAAAAAGAAGGGTTGGTTACATATTTGAATAAAGAGGGTATTCATTATAGTTCATGAATATTATCAAAGGTAAAATTTTTTTATTGAGTAAATTAACAGTATTAATAAATACTTTGAGGTTATGTTAGTGTTGTGTTTATACCTAAACCTAAGTAATCCTGTCTATATACTAATATTTAATCAACCGTTCTTATTCTTACACAATTTATAAGTGAACACACATTTACAAATTGTTTATTGGATTTTTAATGTATTTTGAATTTGTTTGAAATGATTCATTAAACTCCGCCCACTTGTGATGCCTGATTAAGGTAGTCTTTTGTGGGCGGAGTTGTTACTGTCCATCTCTAAATGTCAGTGCAATGTTGGAACCACTTGGAACTCTAGAGCAGTTATAACTACTAGGTACAACATAGAGTAACAGAATTGTGGTTACTCTGGTGACGTCACATATACCATGGTAATATATCACTTGTCATGTCAAATTTCATTTAAGTTGGGGATTTCTAAACCAAATTTGAATTATACGAAATTTTAGGGTGTTTTCATTTTGTTACGTATTTAAAATTAAAATAAAAAAAGGTTTTATTAAGTGTTATCTGATAAGAAAAAATGAATGATGTAGTCTTACATTTCCATTTTTATATTTTAGTGTAAATATCAGTACCCATTGGATTTTTCTAGCTATGGAAAATTAAATTTTCCATTTGCAAGTTTATCAGCAACAACATTGCTCTCATAAAGAGTTATTTCAATGCCCTGCATTTCAAATTCAATTTCTTAGTAAATACAAAAATGTCCAAACAAACAAAACAAACCCTAACCGCTGAAAAACTTCTCTCTTTACAATTCTTTGCACATGCTCGAAATGTTTAAATGTACTCTCGTAACATAATGTATGTTCTAGTAAATTGTGGCAAGCTTGTAAAGAAGTGCCTCAAGTATGGTTTATAAAGGCTTTTCTTTATGACTTTACTATAACATGCTTGGTTATTTAGCACTATTGTGGTTACTCTGATGACATCACACATACTGTGTTAACCACGAAGTATAGATACAAGGAGTCCGAACGTAATGTTGAATGAATGGCATCAATTTGGGGGACAGACTTTTTGTCGGCAGGGCGCGCCACTTTTGAAGAAGTACTCGTTAAATTAATTATTATTTGAAAATTAAACAAATTTATTAATCAAGCATTTGTTAAAAACAAATTTTTATTATTATTTAGAGGTTACTCACTTTCGGTGCTTTGAATAAAGCCACTTTTCCTAAATTCTCATTTGCCTTTCGGTACGTCCTGAATATTTGCGCAGCCAGTAGCAAAAAAAAGAACTAAGATCTGTGTTTAATATTTGGGTGCATGAATCCTACAAAAAAGCCTATACCGTTCGGACTCCTTGTATCTATACTTCGTGGTGTTAACTATTGTCACTGTTAAATTATACTAAATTCAATATAAAATACAATCAGGGTTGCCAACTTTTCAAATTCCATTTACCGTACCGTGCAATTAAAATTACCGTACATGGCCTCCCAATACTGTACTTTTTTATTTTGTAGAAAAACTATGTAAATATATTTCTGTCGAGCTTCTAAAAAAAAAGTCCCCATCATATTTTAATCAACCTCTGGTCCTTCTACCTAGCTTCTAAAAAAAAGGCCTTAGCTTATATTTTTGTAAAAACCAGGTCCTTTTAAAGAACCTGTGCTGTAAAAAGATTAAAATGACATTTTTACATTAGACAATGTCATTAAACTTCGTTTAACACGGCACTGGAATTGGCCCTTACACAGCTCAAAGTCTTTGCTAATTTTGTTCTAAATACCCTACGTTTACCGTACTTTTGATGTAAATACCGTACTTTTATGTATGGTAATGACTTTGGACCGTATACCGTACATTAATCGAAATTACCGTACAAGTACGGTAATTACCGTACAGTTGGCAACCCTGAATACAATTATGTCATCGTCATTTAAATTAATGACATTTCATTTGACAATTGAACAAATAAATTCAGACAGATTTTATTTTTAAAAAATTGCATATTAAACATTTATTTTTTTTAGCATGTAAGAGTAGTAAATGTACCATAGGTATGTTTTTAACAGAATAATTTTATTTATCTCATACTGAAAGTTGTTATCAACTTCATGAACTGTCAATTTAAGCATATTGTTGGCAAGTGTCCCATGCTTAGCATCGTTCGATTTCTTTTCAATACATTATTTGTATTTGAGATTAAATTATTAACAAACTGTACTTTTAAGAACAAATTTATTGTGTATTTAATAGAGCTGTTTGTTTCTTGTGTGTTACATCTCCCTCCTTACCAATGTATCTTGAATAGAACTGATTTGGGGCAGTTCAGAACAGTATTATAATATACATTTATGATGGTGTGTCAGTTTTTCCGGGTTTTCCTCACCTGTAAGTCAAATGGCACCATCAATCATCTTTAAGTCCTTAATGGTGGATGTTTAAGGACGGCAGTTAGTGGCGACTTTATAGTTTTCGGGTGCGCTCGCCAACATTCGTATCAGTTTTTTAATATTAAATATTTAATATCATCGTCATCTAAACCTTCAAAAATGGTTATTTCTAATGCCTCTTCCATATTAGTATGTACTATTATAAACAATAAAAACAGATGAACTACAATTTCAAATTTTTAAAATGAGGTTAGAAATATGTATAAGGACAAGGACTCTAATGTCAAAATTTCAGGTTTGCAATAAGTCTTATTTTAGCATGGAATTTATTTGCCTCTAATTACGTTGTCACTATTAGTGGCTGACGTTATAGAAATTTGCTATAACTCTCTAATTATATTGATTTTTTGTTTAAATTTCTCAGTTCATTTCTCAATTTCTTTTTAAAATCAGTTCTTTAGTTGGCAACATTGTCGTGGTGTTCGCTGTTTATAAATAAATTTGTATCAATTTCAATTCGATTTTTTTTTATTTGTGAGCATTAAATGTGTTTACTCACAATCGGTTAAGTAATCTGTGGATTTAAACCCTTCAAAACAGTCAGGAAACGACTTTTTACTAACTTCACTTCCCAGCTATCATGTGTTACTTTCTCGGCAGACAAATGTCACTTATTATATGCTTCGTAAGTGTTTTCGTACACATACTTTGATTACTATACGAGGCAAGAGAGAGGTCCGACACGCCCAACATAGGGCGTGGCCATTTTGAACCCTGTGACACAGTTTACAGCTAAAGAATCAGATCGCTCACTCTGCGTCGGCACTTTTGATCTCAATGTTTCAGTTTATACACTGTGCAACTCTTATAATACAATATATGACAACTGCCTATAATAAAACAGCAGTCTTCTGCGTATCCTGAATTTGTATCCCTGGAGTGGATGTTATTTTGGAACTTTCAACTGGTCCGAGTGAGCTAACTAATTCTTTAGCAATAAACTGTGACTTCAAAAATAATATTCACTGACACTGACAACAGCAAGCAAAATATCAGGTGCGTTTTAATCATCCGCTTCTGCTTCCGGAATTGTCGGTTTAGTCGTTTTAACCTGTCAGATTAAAACAAGAAAACCGACAATTCCGAAGCAGAAGCGGATAATTAAAACGCACCTATTAAAAATATTGCGCCAAGGTGTAGGCAACACGTAATAAGGGTTCAAAATGGCGGAGTTTTATATCTCCTCTTAAAAGGCACTCAGAAAGCTGCGCAGTGCGACCATTCTCCGTATAGTAAAAGAAAATCAAAGTATGTGGTTTTCGTATCTCTTCCTTCTTTTTTCCGGAATCATATCTTATTCTGCAGCTATTCGCAATTCTGGCGAGATACATTAAACTGTCGGACATATTTGTAGGTATGAAAGAACAATAATTTTATTATTAAAAGTGCCGTTCAATGCGCTGGTTCAGTGTGATGTCATTTTGGTTCCACTGACATTTAATTCTAACCAAACTTTTAACAAAAACATCAATAAATTTGACATATACGTTTTTACTGCTTTTAGTTTATTTCTAAATATTGTTTACAGGTCATAAAAAATAGTTTAAAGGTATGTAATTGGTAACTAAACGATTGTATATTTGATGCATGTTATCTACTTACTTTAAGAATATATTTATAAAAGTGAAAAAACGATATAATTTAGGTAAACAAAACGAACAAAACCAATGAAGTGGAGAGGGGTAGAATGATAACTGTCAATGAAAAAGTCTGGACACTATGCACAATTTCGTTTTGCACATTTTGTAAACAAAATTCAGGGACGGTTTAACAACATTTTGTGCAACAATTATAAAATAGTGCATCGAAAAATAATTAACAAGTATAATTTAATACTAAATCAGAATAAAAGCATAAAAAATCATAAATATAAGCAAGATAACAAAGAATTGACGCCAAAAAAGCTTACAACAGCCAAAACACAAACAAAAAACAGAGCTGAACATGAACATAATCGCTGAATAAAGTCGATCCTGGAATTTGTTTACAGTGCTTTAGGGCAACCTCTCCTTGTCATTTACGTGTGTAAGAGTGGAAGGCTGAATCACGCATAATTTCTACACTCGTGATGGATGCGCAGACGGTACCTTATCGTTCTACCCTCTCTACTTCTTTGAACAAAACGCACTCAAAAAATCTACTGTCACTTTAATTGTCAGTGGAACCATAATTACATCATCACTGAACTAGCGCATATGCAATTAGCAAAATAATTACCTAACTGTCAGATTCAACCAACTTGTTATTTTGCCTAGCAACGGTTTCACATATACCTATGTTCTAGTAAATTATGGTAAGCTTACCTTATAAATATGGGCCCCAGTGTCAAGATAAGATTTCAGTACATCAGCTACCGCTTGTAAAAGGAAGAGAGTGATCTCGTCGAAATTGTGGAACTCGAAATTATCTTTACATACTGTATTTTGAATCGAAACACCAGAGGTTTATATTCTGAAATAAAACACCATATTTTTTGTACCTTATAATTTAAACTTTAGAAAGGTCTAAAGGGCGTTTTTGTACCTAAATTTATGTTAAAGAATTTATCAAAATTCTGACTTGATAAAGCAGTTCTGCGACCAGATTGTGGTTCAACGTCAAAAAAACTACCAGAAACTACTTATCCAACACATTTGAAAAGCATGGAGTTATAAAAAAATCACACCTTATAACTAACTTATAGATTAAAGGATGATTAAACACAATATTTACCGGTTCTTATAATACTACACCTGGCTAATTGGTTAGACAAATAACACAATGACTAAAACAGTAAACTTAACACATACACACCGTCCTCACATGACTAAAGTATTTTTTCATATTGTATCTATTAAAAACTCCAGGTAGATATTTATTATTCGGTATCTTATCAGTTTCTCAACTTAGATAATACTTACACTTCGTCGAATAGAATTCTACAGTTGTCCTTCGGCCACCGATTTTCGAGTGACGGTATTTTTGATAAAAACAGACCAAAATGGAGAAGAAAAAGAAGGATAAGGATAAATCGCCCAAAAAGGGATTGCGTATGTCTTTTAGTAAGAAAGTGAGGAGCAAAACTGCGCCAGGTCTTGTCGAGGTAGGAACTCAATGATTATCACGTGTTTCGTTTATTTATAATTAAAATAATCTTAAATGACAATAGGTTATTAGCATTTTATTATTAATTTGTTTTATTGATGAATGCGTACCGACTTATTTTATTTTATTTTACAATAATAAAGTTTCTCTTGACATTGTATCAGTTTTTACCTATTAGTTATTTATATAATATTTATGCTACACATACCTACCGGGCGTGGTTAAAGAAATACACTGCTCATTATAATTATTAAATGATATTTATAATGGTGAATTTGGAAATCAATTTTGAATATTAGCACAACATAAGGTGTAAAACGTAATTCAAATTTAGATGTTGATATTCTTTTAAACAATGTAACAATATACAAATGTCGGTATTAAGATCAAATAAACTAGAAAAGATAATTAAACATAATAAGATGAATTAATATTAAAAATATAGTACGAATTAAGATGAAGAATAAATATTCATTCATTTCTATTTTTAAATATTACATTTGATTAAAACTTATTTATTTATTTTTGTTAATTATAGTAGTTTATATATATTTTATGGATTTGTTTACATATGACATATGTCTTGATAAGTTTTTCGAATTTGAATGGTTATCTTTATGAGTACCTACCTGCATACCTCTTTTTCAAGTGCATAATGTATACTATTATAAATATTAAATTGACATTTTTTTCAACTAAAAATTATAATATACTTATGCATACGGGGTGATCATTTAAAAACTTACAATGGCTATCTCAAGAACTAAAATGATATCAGAAAAGTAAAACCAAACTCATTTATTTCGTACTCCTAAATTAGAAATATTTAAAATGATTTTATTTAGACGAATGTAACTTTTTAAACACGATGCAAAAATATCAATATGAGTAACAAGAATTTGTTAAGAATTCATTTTTGGAAAAAATTACAGTTAAGACCTCTTACACTTTTTAACTGTTTATTGACTTTATTTTATCGAGCGATAAAGAGTACTTTTTTAGTTTAAAGTTTAAAAATATTATTGTTGTGCCTTCATATATATTTTTAGCATTATTGTGTTCAAGCTGTGCCGTCCCTGGCTGGTATTTTATGGAGACTTATCTAATATCCATCCCATATTAAAAAAAGTTATTTATCTACCAAGTCAGCAAAGTGATTCTTTATCGAACTAGTCTGAGTTTATGAGCTGAGCGAGAGAAACGAAGGAGGTGAGTAACAAGCGAGTTCGATAAAGATACTTTGCTGACGTGATCCATACAAACTATCGCCAACCGTAAATAATTATAATTAATAAAAAAGGAGATATAACATCACATTTTATTAAGACAAAGTAAACAAATAAAAAAATTATAGATACTTGTTATATTATTTTTATGTGTTCTATCTAAAAACAAGAGATTGTTCAAATGTTTTTGGGACACTTCCATTCTAGAAAGGCATGGAAATCAATCAATCACAGTTTATGGTTAGTAGCCCAGCTAACTATTCATTAATAGTTCAAATTAGTGATAAATCTATCCAATCAATTGTAGTCGGTATTAAGCTGAAAGTAAATGAAAAATTAGTGATTCTAGTGAAGAATCAATAAATAACAATACACTTTCGTTTATATATGTATTTACAAAGAAAATCGAAAATTTTGGGTAGATTGTCTAAAACCAATTTCATTACAAATGTTAGGTAAAATTACAATGTGACGCCGTCGTGCCAGTACTTCGTTTTTGTGCAATGTGGTCATCATATCCACACTTGTTGCACAAACTATTTTTTCTACATTTTAGAAGATATGAATTTTTATAGTTAAAAAAAAAATTACGGTTTTAACGAATTTTAACGGTCTATAAAAACTAGAATGAAGATATACAGTGAGCACCCCCCCTATCTAACTCGTTACTGGAGACTTGTTAGGAAAATCGCCGAGACACGTCGATTTTTGATTTCTACAATGTTTATTTTTGTATGAATAGTTTACCCTTAATTTCATCCCTTACTGGAGGGGAGCAACCCTTTCGAAAAATTTAAATGGCATGGGGTGGTGAGTGATAGCTCATTTGAAAGAGGGTTTTATTCTCTATTCAACCATGTAAAAAAATTTGAAATTTGCTTCATTAATTCTCGACTAATTGTTGTTTCAGAATAACGGAAATTAACGTAGCGCACTCATCCTTAGAATTAAAATTCGGCCCTGCATGATTTCGGTTTTGGTTCAGACGTGAAGAAAGACTTTTTGCCATTAGAAGGTCACTGTTAGTCTAGTTGCTTTCCTATTTTGTGAGGTTTTGTTATTTTTAAACATTAATAAATCAACACGTAATGAAGCAAATTTCAAAATTTTTTGCACGGTTGAATAGAGAATAAAACCCCCTTTCAAATGAGCTATCACTCACCACCCCATGCCATTTAAATTTTTCGAAAAGGTTGCTACCCTCCAGTAAGGGATGAAATTAAGGGTAAACTAATCATGCAAAAATGTACATTGTAGAAATTAAAAATCGACCTGTCTCGGCGATTTTCCTAACAAGACCCCAGTAACGAGTTAGTTAGGGGGGGTAAGACTTATGATTCTCACTGTATAATGCTTGGCATTCTATATTATACTCTTCACAGACTCTCTTAACCCCTCATTTTTGATCATATTTTTTTCAAAATCAATAGGCTTCATCCCCCTATAATAGAGCTTGAGTTGTCCTAAATATTTCAAGTTAATATCGTTTTTTGTTTTTAAGTTTTTTTTAATATTTCAACACCCCCTTAACCGCCCATTTTTATTCAGATTTATTCAGAGTCAAAATTGTTTTTTGTTTTAGTTTTTAATTTATTTTTTTTTAATTTCAACCCCTACGAAATAATAAAAAATATTTTTAAACCTCCAAAATGAAAACAACTTAATGAAAAATTAAAAAATCTTTACGAGGTGGGATTCGAACCCACCTATTCGTGTTTTACGCACACTACCATTCGGCAATCGGGACATTAAATCTCCGACTTCCAAATTGTTAATTTCATTATGAGATTTCGAATCAAAACTGGATGACAGAAAATTTCCAATTTTTCAACAAACTACTAATCGACATTGTCTAGGATTTAAGGTAAATTGCGGCTTACGCTACTGGTCAACACGCGTAATAATTATTACAAAAACAGTTCTTAATGATGAACATTTTTGCTAACTACAATTAATAAAAGATATTAAAAAAAATTGTTTAATATCATATCAGTTATTTGTATATATAAAGGGCCTATTCTGTAACGTATTAGTTAATTTTAACCGCCAAATTAAAAGTTTATTTATAACTATATTGTTTAAATCAGTTTAACTTTTTGTTATTAGTTATTTTATAGCCAGCTTGGGTTAAAATAGGCATAGCAACGATGTAATATACCTGAAAGTGCATTCAAACTAAACCCAACGCAGAATTAAAAATAAGAAAGAAATATATTATATTTGACATGTAATTTTAACCAAATAATAGAGAATACAAAATTAAAAATAACATCCGGTTATTTTAATAACTCAGGGTTAATGTTAACCAAATTTTTACAGAATAGACCCCTATAAGGGTGGGTTGTACAAAGAATATTGTAAATTCAGTTTAGCTAATAGAGGTTTAATTTTTAACTGATTTGATTCAAAGTAAAAATGTCATTTTTAAAACTATGTTTATAACCGATGATTATGCAACGAAGATCACAGTTTAAACAAAGTTTACATTTTAAACCGCTCTTATAAAAGCCGTTAAAATGTGCCATATTCGTGATTTTTTAAACACCCCTAGTATTTAAGAAATAAACTGGTTTTAAAATGACATTATTCCATTAAAAATGTCATTTTAAACTTGGTTTATTTATTAACGACTAGCGGTGGAAATTGCCCTAAATAACTTTATAAAAAAATGTATAGGACTTTTTTAATTTATTGTAATAAAGTATATGAAACAAAATTAAAAAATAACATTTTTTTTTTAGTAATTGTTTAAACAATTTCGTTTTAAACAAAATGGGACCACATTGTCCCATGGCAAAACTGCATTTATATAATATTTGAAATATTTTAAAGGATGTTAACAAAAAAAAATTCCAAGGAATGGTTTTGACACGCATGCAGCGATTCTTTAACTATTTGAAAACTCAATTTATTTATTTATTTTTTTCATTTTGTCCTTTAATAATGGAGCTGCAAAATATTGACACTACTCCACAATTGTGTAAATTTAAATTTAAAAAACCCGTTCGACCCTAAGGCTTTTGATTTGAAGGTCATTTTTCTGAAACGGACACACATCAAATCTAATGCTTATCCTCATTTTCAAGATCAAAGTTTAGTCATCGCAGGCGTCTTTTATAATTATAGATTGACCATACCATAAGATGCAGTTTTTCAGATGGAGGTCATAGTTATTTTTTTTTTAATATTTTTATCGTTTTTTCGTTAATGGATATTAACTACTTTATGAATGACTATGGCTTGTGGACGGTCGTACGAAATGATGTCAACGTTTCGTAAGGTTATATAAATAAATTTTACTTCTTAAAAAACGATTTAACGCACATGGTTTTGCGACGCCATAGGCGTGACATGCGCGAGGCAGTTTGTCTTCTATAAAATTAATTCTATTACTGTTAATGTTGAACGGTTTATTATTTAATTAACTTAAACATTGGGGTACTACAGCGAAAACAAGTACGATCACAGCCGCAGAATTGATATTTGTAATTAATATTGCAGTGAAAATTTAATGGAATCATGTCGAAGAATTTAGAAACAAATCTATATTAAAGAAATAGAAATGTTGTTATTTATCTATTCTACACAAGAGTAACTGATTTTAAAGTATGTATATTATTTGATATCAATAACTAAAAAATATGCTGACAATTAGTTTGACAGTATAATTGAAGACCTTGGCGTGAAAAGGATGTATGCCACATACAATAATTTTAGAGAAATTCGATTTTAAAAATTATTTTAAATCCACAAAATCCAATTTATGTACAAT